GTACAGGGATTTTTTCAAAAAAAAAATTTTTTCTCCGAATTATTCACAACATATATCTATCGACTCAGTTTTTAACGCTGATTCCGAATCTGATATTAGTTTTGAACCAAAATTGTAGCTTTCTAACAAAAAATCCACCGAAAAAGGCTCAAAATGCATAAAAACTACAGTTGAGAAAGCAAATAGTCTAGATATTGTCTCAGATGATAAAAAACAAAGTGAATATACCTTTTCACTTTTTGAAGTACACATAACACTCGGATTTAAATCCGATGTTTTCGCATTTATTTAATGTAATAATGAAAACTTACTTGTTCGGATATAGACAAATCTTTTGTTTCACAATTAGCTAATTTATCTAATATAATATGATTATTATCATCTTTTTCTTTTAATAAATATAAACGTGTTAATTCTTGACATGTAAATGGTGTTAATGGTATATGAGATAATTGAATTGAATAAACTTGTTCAATATCTTTATCAATATCCATATGTTCATTATGATGATGATTATTTAAATTTTCTTCATTTTTTTCATCATTTTGATTATCATCATTATTATCATCATCATCATCATCATTATTTGAACGATTTTCATCTTCTTTAAATAATAATTTCATAAATATTTGTAAAATTTCAATAAAATAATTTGAAAATATTATTGTTGATGTATTAAGTAAATAATTAAATTTAAATGAACGTAAATATAATTGTGTTGTTTTAGGTATATCATCATTTAATGATAAATAAAATAATGAATGACATGATGTTAAAAATGTACATATCATAAGTAAATCACTTATAGATTTTGATGATAATATTAATGTTGTTTGAATTTCTTTTGGTAAAGGTAAATCTTTTGATAATGGTAAATCAAGATCTTCAATTGGTTTTTGTTCTAAACGTTTTGTTTGAAGAAATAATTTTTTTTCTTCATCACTCATTTGTGATAAACGTCGTTTTAATTCAAGTTCATCATATTTTATTTGTATTAATGTACGATATTCATCAGGTAAACGTAAACGTTGTTTATCATTTAATGTTCTTGCACAATGAAGTATAAGACGATGAAAAAATTTCGAATCTATACCACGATCACGACGTGTTTTATCTAATTTTTGTAATAAAGAATGTGGTATAACTATATCATATGTTGTTACAGATGATTTTTCTAATAAATCATTATGATTTGTTGAATTTTTTGTAAATTTCATATCGTCTAATGTTAATTGTTTTTTTGGTTTTGATGGAGATTTATTTTGTTTAGTTGATTTATGCGATTTTATTTTTAATGATGATAATTGAGAAGGACTTTCAGATGTTGATGGAATGGATTTTATTTTTTTAATATTTATTTCATTGGAATTTTTTAATTTATCTTCATCATCGGATAATATTATTTGACAATCATCAAAATGACCATTGGGAATAGATGCTAAAATAAATGTATATATTACCGAATTATCAATAATGATTGATCGGATTGTATTTTAAGTGTTGTTAGTTCTTTAATCTTGTATTAATATAGGAATTGATTAGAAAATATATGTTCACTTTATGAGTTCTATCGAAAAACATGTTAAAAATTTTCTTTAAGTCCGACACAGAATTCACTTAAAAGTTCCTGGTTCTGAACGATTCAAATATTGAGATTAGATAGAGTCAAAATCGTGCAGTAGTGAATTTAGAGACCAGAAATAAAGGCTGATCGTCCTTGTTTTTCGAACTATTTTTGAAGCACAAAAATGAGTCGATGCAACTTCTAATTCGACTTGAAAACACATTTTATGACTAGAATCGTCTTATTTGGTCAAATATCCTGTCAGGAATATTCGTTGTAATCTGATTGAGACTCATGGTTTTTTTCTTGGCGTTAATGTCTATCTTTGTGTTTTATCATAAACGACCAATAATCAAGAAATACAGATATTTTCCTGTCGGAGTGTTGCACTGTTATATCTTCTCTTGTCATGCAAACATAAATGCTACTTTACTCTCGTCGTATATGGGAAGATATGACGAACTTTGCTTTACGTTTGACTTCGTTTTATATAGTCTTTTTTCTATATACACGATACGAAAATATCAAGTGATAATATTCAGTTATGGATCAAGGAAAATGGAAATTGTGTACATGACTCAACTTAATGAGCATAGACTTTTGTGTCTCAATACGAAGATTAATCGTGAAAAAAACGAGGATCTCTGATCTGGCAATAAGATTTTCAAATAGTTTTCAATGAAAATAAATTTCTTATGATACATGCATCAAAAAAAGCTATTTGGATCTAAAAGTCTAAGCCAATCGGCTAAGCAACCGTTGCTGAAGTCTCCTACTGCCAATGTCTGTCCGTGCATCGGCCTAC